AAAGATATTTTTCCATTTAAAATAATTTTATTGTCATTATGACAAATCTTTCATCTCATCTTTAATTAATGTTGCCAAAAACAACGAAACAACGTCAGAACATTGTTTGTTGACTGGATTAACACTGGTAGAGAGAGGGGAAAAAAAACGTGTTGGTCACACGCAAAAGAAACAGAAAGCACGAATGAGAAAGAGAGTGCAGCTGTTGAAGAGTTGAGATTCTCTCTCTTTGACATCTCCACAGCTTCATCTTCACAATGTTATCATCTCTTCCACACAGTCTCGCAGCTGTTGAAAGCTCCTGCAAAGGCGTGCCAGCCTCGCCACGTGCTTCACACACAAACCTCTCCTTCTCCCAGGTGCAGGCAGGGAAACAATGGACAACCGCTTACGCATTTCACAAGAAACCGCGGCAGAGACGTGTTGCTCGGCGTAAGCTGCGCCCCCTCTGGCACAGACGCTGTTTTTGCCATTCCTCCGACGCTGTGATACTGGGGAAGCTGGTCACGTGGAGGCTTCAGTTCTCGAACTCTTTCAGGGGCGATGTGTGTGGAACTGAATGAGCGCAGAACACTGTTTTACAGTGTTTGAGTGGGCTGCTTTTGCCAGAGGTGTCACTTCCACTCTTACTATGAGAATGAGGCTGTAATAGCCCATATGTGCTCTTCCGTGGAGAGGTTTCCCTCTAGCCATGATAAGGACAGATGTAAAAGCCTTATTAGCATCTCGTTTGGCCATGCAGGCTGCGGTACAAAACTAAAGGGACTGTAGAGCTGCGGCAGTGAAGATTTACAGACAGTCAAGGAGGGTTCGCATTGTATCCTGGACTGACTGCGATTAGATTATGCCATCTCACTTTAAAGTCAACACCAGCTGCTTGCATCCCATTTTACTTCTGCAACCTGAGTCAAGATATTCAACAATAAAAATTAGTAGGGCAGAACTTGATTTTATCCATCGGGCGTTGATTGAAATGGCTGTTGCACACCAGAATGGAACCAGACGGTTGGAGGATCGAAAAGTAAGAGAGATTCGAAACGTCAGCCAAAAAGAAAATTCATTTCAGAGACAAAACATGTTAATACATTTAGATAAACAATTTTTGGACTGATGAATCAAGCACAATAAGATCTGGAATGTGTATTAAGAAAACAAATAGAGTCTATTTTGATTTCATGTTGAAGGCAAAACAACCCAGGTAAATATATACATTAAAAAAATCAATAAATAAAATACATACATACATACATACGTTACCGGTTGATTGAATGCATTAAGTAATGCAAACTTTTTTTGCATTACACATTATCTGAAATGTTATGTTTAAATATGCAAATAAGCCATTATCTAATTATATATGCTCTAATTTTCATATATTTCCAGAACAAAAATCTGAACATTGGATGAAGTAAGGTTTAAAATACTTGTTTCATTTTGTTGACATATTAGAGTCAAACAATTATAAAAATTTTTGGACTGAAGAAACAAGCAGAATAAGACCAGGAATGTGCATTAGGAAAGTAAAATAGGGTAAATTTTGATTTCATGTTGACTTTAAAACAAAGGATTCTGCATCAACTACAGTCCTCAATGCATTGTGCGTAGGCCGAACATCTCAGTCACGGTTATTAATGAAATACTCACAGGAATGTGAATCAGATTAATATGGAGTCGTAAAGGGAGAACAGCTGCTGCCATGGAAGTTGTGACTACAAATAAAACTATAATGAACACATAAAAAAGGCATGATGAAATTGAAAGATTCAACACTGCAGATGAGCACAGCGTATAGAATATTTAAAGCCGCATTTAAGCTCCACTGGTGGCACCAGACAAAATTGCAAATCACAAAACATGTCGTTTATTGTTCAGTCAGTCAGGTAGCCTCAAACTCACGCCACTGGTTGAGCCAGAAGTCAACATGTTGAACAACACAGTGTTTACACTGCCCACAAAAATATGACCTATGTTTGTCTTGCACAAAAATAAAAAATTACATGCATATGAAACACATCACACCAACAATCTCTCTTCATAAGTATCATTTTGATACTTCAATATCTGTGAGCTCTCCCACAAACATAGAAAGAGAGAGACAGAGGTTCAACGACCCTGGATGGAATGATCCATCAAAGGATAGACGTTGCCCTAGAGGAGGCATCTATCATCAAATGGGCACATGCAATGCTGAAACAATCCCCAGGTATTGCCAGACAGAGGTCGGAAAGAACAAATAAGGCTTTCAGTGCATGTTCTGCTGGTGACCTTTGGAAGGTGAGAAGGAGAGAGGAGACGGGCAACTTTATGAGAATTACGTTTTCTGAAGAGAAACTTCCTTCTGTACAGAAATGAGGGGACATGAACTCATATGGGATTGTTTCACAAATGCGATGTATTTAATAGCTCGATTGTTTCTCCTAAAAACAAAATGGAAGTTTCCTGCTTCCCATTTTTTTTTTCCCTAAGAAAATGACTATAGTAATCTCACTTGCATGCTCAGAAGAGATCTCAACAATATCTCAAAATAGTCCATGATTTCCCATTCTATAAAATTAGCTACCTGTATACTACCAACATTCATTTTCTACTTCTATTTTTGTAACCCTGTAAAGCCTGAAATGTAAAATAATGGTCTGATTTATTTTCCCCCTAAAATGTAATTGTTAAAAAATCTATTTTTGGAGTATCATATTTGATATATCAGGATTTTTATGGCTCATATAATATTATATAAGACAATACGAAGCTTATAATCGAGGAGGGGAAAAAATATTCAGAGGCCCAAACTGAGCAAAAATATGCAATTTGGTATAGTTGCTGATATAGCTAAAAAATAAGATACAATTCTGATATAAGATATATAGCAGACTAATTACATAAAATGTATTCTAATATCAGCTGTCACTCTATATCTCCCAATAATATATCTTAGTAAAATGATATTTGAATGCTTATTTTTATAATCAAAGCTCTGTCTTTTTCATCTTTGGGGGACAAAATATACTGCATATTGTATATACTGCCTCAGTCTAGTAAGTGTTTGTCTTGAAATATTACTGACAAAATGAAAGTTTTTAAAAATAAGCAAAGATTTTACAGCAAAAAGACGTGTACCATGACCTGAAGTGGGCAGTTTCAGAATTATACTAAAAGGCCTTTTACTTGCAATAAACAAAAATCTGAGAAAAAGTTGAGCTGCAAAGTACCAACGTTCTTTAAACTCGCATCGTGACCTATAGTTGAACTCTCACCATTTCCTGCATTGCCATTTTGAAAACGATCAACATAATCTCTTCCAAAGCAGAGGAGCTCTATACATATCAGTGGCAGAAATGTTCTGCCTGCAGAATATTTTCACCACTCCTCATTCACTCCTCATTCAATATCAGCCATTCAGACTTCCATTAATGGTTTGCCCATCCCTACGGAGCGTATCATCAAAACCTGCCGCGTCACATCACCAGAAACGCCAGCTGAGATGCGGTGGGACGAGGAAGGTCTGAAAGTTTACACGCAAACACACCCCACGCACACAAATAAATGCAATGACGGAGAAAAGCCGAGCTGTCGACTCCAGCATGCAAAGCTCTGCAAGTTAGAAGCTCCCTGTTGAAGCAAAGAGAGAGGCGTACAAGCTTTTATCAGAACAAAACTGCAGAAGCCTCCTATCTCTTCAAATATTGGACCAAATTTGGGGTTCTGCTCAGCAATGTAGAACAGCATCACCTCCTTTCATTATTGTCTTTTGTTCTTAATGTATTGCAAAGCTTGAGGAGTGAACTAAAGGTCTTTGATATGACAATTAGAGTGAAGGCAGAGGAACGGCTCCAGTTTGGCTCTGTTTTTGTTTGTAGTTCTTGTTTTCACCCAAATAAAGGCGGAGAAGACGGAGAAGATGTGGGAGGCGAAAGTAGCTTGGAGAAATGTGAGTTTGTTGCAAAGTGCCTGTGATCAATACTAAAGAGGCAACAAAACTGTGATGCTATTTTGGGGAGAAAATTACAAGGCGCTTTATTCTGTATCTCAGCATCTGTCTGTGTGTGAGTGAATATTGTGGCTGCTGGCAGCATAGCCTGATGTGTGATGTGACTGTGAGAAATTAAAGAAAAGGAAATGACAGCAATTTCTTCTTCTTCACTGTCAGGTCGTACCGATAGGTAGGAGGACAACTTCCATAAATGCAGCAGTGCAAGAAAAATCATGTGCAGGCTTCAACATGCACAAAGAGTATTTTGACACTAAAGCCACACTTCAAATGCCAGTTGCCTTAATAAATAAAATATCAAACCAAGTAGCATTTATTTAAAAAGACAAAAAAAAAAAAACAGCACAACTACACTAAAAAAATTAATAAAAAAAGACTGCCAAAGGAAAATTACATCTAAATTATATAAATCTTATAAAATTAATTAAATATAATCCAATTTTATTTTATTGCTATTTCTTTTTTTCAATTTTGAAATGAACTGTAATGTATTTATTTTTTTGACAGTCCTGGCTGTAATAAGAAAACAAATTAATATAATTTATGGAGAATATACATTTATAAAATATATATAAAAATGTATATATTATATACTATAACTATTATACAATTAATATAATTTTATAATTAATTATAAAAATTAATACACTTTTCTAGAGAAAAACGAGAACAAAGAACTAGTAAAAAAAGTTTGTTTGCTTGTTTATTCATTCATTATTACTTATTTTTTTAAATGTATTTATTCTTCAGCGATCATCAGTGCTCCATCGCATCAAAAAGTTCAAAAACCCTTGGCTTAAGTGTTCAAATGCTTTTTGTAGCCACCGTATCTGTGTGTTTGTTGAAGAGTGTTTATCAAAATTGTAAAATAAAGGATTCTCTTTTTACAGCTCTTTTTATTGTTCAACTCCTATACAACTCACATTTCTGGAGCTACAATCGCCTGGGCCCAGGTTAAAGCTTTCCCAGTACCAACACACGCACACGGTATCTCAGATAAACATCCACAACTTACCCGTCACGTTGACCTCTACAAGTCCAGAGCGTGTGCCAATGCTATTGGTGGCGTCGCAGACGTATGTCCCGCCGAACTCATAGGTCACCGGGCCTTTGAAGAACAGGGTGTTGTTCTTGATTTCAATGTTGTTGGGAAGTGATCCATTCAACCTGAGAAAAAAACAGACAGATAATATGGAAACAGAGTTGGCTGGGAGACAACACCAACTCACATTGGGTAAGATGGATTCTCTTTTTACAGCTCTTTTTATTGTTCAACTCCTATACAACTCACATTTCTGGAGCTACAATCGCCTGGGCCCAGGTTAAAGCTTTCCCAGTACCAACACACGCACACGGTATCTCAGATAAACATCCACAACTTACCCGTCACGTTGACCTCTACAAGTCCAGAGCGTGTGCCAATGCTATTGGTGGCGTCGCAGACGTATGTCCCGCCGAACTCATAGGTCACCGGGCCTTTGAAGAACAGGGTGTTGTTCTTGATTTCAATGTTGTTGGGAAGTGATCCATTCAACCTGAGAAAAAAACAGACAGATAATATGGAAACAGAGTTGGCTGGGAGACAACACCAACTCACATTGGGTAAGATTGGGATGGTAGGGTAATATCAGTAGATCAACTGTTACTATGAGGACTGATTCAATATATTGTGTTAAAACAAACCAAACATACCAAGCGTACTTCAAGAACTGTGCATCTCAAACCAACATACGTGAAGGGTGATGCTACAAAACGACTGAATGGGCCCTTACAGGCCTGAATGTTGCCCCAGGAAAGAGGGAGTGATTTAAAATGGTGAAAACAAACAAAGACAAAAAGCAGAGATGTCACATATGGAAGGGGGTGGGGGGGGGAGTGTTGTTTTGCTGCCACTCTTTCAGTTCTGGGCTGCTGCACCTGAAGTTGGATCCCAAGTGACCAAGACAAACCGATCAAGAAAAGTGTGGAGTCTGACTTACTATGCAGCCACCCTCACACTTTAACTGTAGTGTCCTAATTCTGGACTCTTTATGGTTCAGCTGCCCTGCGAGTCTAGACCTGCCCCGTTCTTCTTCTAAAGCTCGACAGAGGTCACAATCTTTGGCAGATGTTCTTGTGGCAAGATGTTCTCTTTGCTTCTTATCAGAGATCAGTATAACAATGCCTCCCCAGGGACCAGACACATTCAGATCATCTTGTTCCCACTTAACAAGTCCCTTCCTTCCATCTCAATGACACCCTATCTGCCATGTCTTTTAGGGTCTGGTTGATTGGTGGTGTTCTTTATAAGAACCTTTCAAACCTTTTAACGGTAGTGTTCTCAAAGCAAGAGACATGAAACAGTCTATTCGCTAGTACAATAAAACATCCAAACAATGAAACGCACCATTTATTCAGGTCAACAAAGGGTGAGAGTAGAAAGCATGGTAGAAATTAGGTCAAGTCTTAGTCAGAGCAGAACAGACCACGCATAAACATTATGAACTATAAGATTAATTATAATAAGCATAGTTCTGATCCTATTTGGATGAGCCTCATCACATTATACACAACTGTCAATGAACATTAATTGAATTCTATATTAATGTGACATAAATAGCCTATTGCTACGTTGACTCCATTTTGATATTACCCAATTTGTAATATTCAGACTTGCCACATTTGACCAAATTGTATATTCCGACTTTCTTCACTTGATTGTTGTGACGTGAAGTAAACAGAACTAAAATAGCATCAATATTAGCCACCTTTATGCATTTCTGTTTTAAGATTTATATAATAAATACTGACAATGTTTTAAAATGTCTGTAAATATATCATAAAATGAAATCATTGTTTTAAGTATGTCTGAAGATATGAACAACCCCTAATAATAATTCTAAAATTAAACATTCTAAAATGTAATTCTTAAAGTGCACGCAGTATGAAGTTATGCTAATGGACTATAGTTTACTATGTGGATAAATTGTTAATTGTGATTATTAGTATTAACTGATTTCATTTCAGCTTGTTGCAAAATGAAACATTTCTTATTTTCATTTAATATAAGTTTATGTACTAACATAACTAAAACTAAAACTGAAAAGAAAAAAAAAAAATATATATTTATATAAACTACATGACAACAACACAACAAAATTACTAAACCTTTAACTAAAACTAAAATGAAAACAGGGGAAAAAAATAATTAATTAAAAACTATAATAGTATCAATGATGAATGAATAGGATCAATGTTACTAAAATAACACTGTATTGTGAACACAAACATGCACACTAACACTGATGATTTAACTCACTTTCAAAAGCGGATAAAATTAATTTGCAAATGCCCCTAAAAATAGCAAGAATATTTATCTCATTCAAAGAGTAGGAGTTGCTAGAAAAGCGAGAGGATAAACAATGGGAGAAAAGGGTAAGATAGAGAAGAATGGTGTGATTACAGAGTGGGGTGGAGGAGAAGACAGTGATGGGGAGAGACATGGGCGCCGGCGTGACAGATAAGAGGGGACGGCCACAGCAGAAGTGGAGAGCGGACACCAAATGTGTTCTGAAGGGTCCCCTGGGCGCTACACTGGAGGTCATCACCGCGCTGTTGCAGAACATTTCAATCCTGAACAACTATGGATGCACACACACACAAGCACTAGCTGCAGTTCAATCACAAATGTGCAGAAGTCTGTTACATGGTATAAACGCTGACTATTTTAAGTTATGCATAAATATTACACAAATGCCCTTCTGAAAATGCACAGGGAAGAACACAGAGTCTGTGCGACTTGTGTAATTTCTGAACCATTAGCTTCACCAAATGGAATTAAAAAACAAACAAAAGAGACGTTTTTGCAGGTTTCCCAAACATTTCCAAGATCTGCCACTGGTCGATAAAATGCATAGACACGCCCCAAACTCACGCTATTGGTTGAGCCGCTGTTGCTATGTCAGGCTGGTCGGATTCTTAAACAAACATAGTAATGTTTTGAAAGTGCCACAGTGTTTCTGTTTTTCAGTCAACTTACAAAATATTTCCTCTGTATACAAGGTTACAAGAAAGTATTTTACTAAAACAAAAAAATTGTCTGCACACTGACAAGACTGCTCCCAAGGAATTTATTGGTACAACGTTTCGACCATCAGGTCTTCGTCAGACACTGACCTTTGTTTGTATTGATCTTATTTTTTGTCCTGCACCTGAGCCTTTGGGTTTTTTGGGATGTTTTTTTTTTTGACTTACAAGAAAGTATTTTAACATAAAAAAATACACACTTTAGCATTAAAGTTTGCATGAAATCAACTGAAACCTATTACTTTGATAGTGCATATTACTAGTCTTGTGGTGAACAATTTGTGCAAGTTAATAATATAAAAATATGTTTTGTCTCTGTAATCTTTAATCAAATTGCATTTAATCTCTGATTGGGCAGAATATCCTTAACACCTCCCCTCCAACCATCGGTCTTCTGTGAGCTAGAGATGGCAAGGAGGTGCACCAAAACCAAACCCTGCACTGTTTTTTTTTTTCATTCAATATTGCATTTCATTCGGAAATACCGTTAAAATATTGTAAAGTCGAGTCAACTTCGCAACAAGTCAAATTAAATATGCTCAATGAAATATTCCATTTCATTCTGAAATATGTTACAATACTTTAAGATCATTGAATCTTTGCAACAAGTCAGTCGCAATTTCCGGTTCACACAGACTTTAAGAAATTTTGTTTCAGCCTTAAAGCAGCCACAGTCTGTTCAGTAACCGTTTGATGCAAATTGCACAAAATTGGAAAGCTCTGTTTTGATCTGAGAAGCTCTAATCTGATTGGCTGGCTATTACTATTTAAAGAAAAACTATTTAAGATGACCTTTCCTTTAACGAAACTGGGAACTGCGACTGATCGCTTTACGTGTCATCCAGACAGTGGGTGATTCTTGGCTGAAATAAGCAACTATTTGGGCCAGACTTTATGCCGAAACTCAAAGTCTGGCTAAGCACGACTATACGAAATATAAATCCTATTTCAGATTTCACATTGAAATATGATGTGACTACTCACACACATTCTCTCTCACACACCTACACTCAGTTTCAGTTTCAGATTTGCGTTAATTTCCCAGCTATCAAAACATGCCAGAGAGATTCTTACCATAAATATATCATAAAGCGAGCAGAACAGTCACACTCAGAGTTTATCTTCAGACAGCTTATTGTGACATATTTCCTTAGCTATCTCTCCTCCCGTCTTCTATCTGCTGGATCTTATCAGATTGCTTTGCAGCAGTCAGCATTTAGGGAAACACATTATACCTTCTGCGTTTTTGGGCTGAAATCTGTCTCACAGGCCCTGTCCTCAACCAGGTTATGAATATTACAGGAACAGTTTAGGAAGAAAACAGATGACTTCTGCTTAAAGACAAAAAAAAACATTTGAAAAACAATACAACCCAAGCCAGGAGTTGTTTTGCATGAAATTGTCTGAGGATAGACGTAGTGGTGTGTGCTGGTGATGGTTATACATTTTGTAATTGAACTTTTAGTAGTCATTGCTCTGCTTTGCATCATACCTAATGACACCATTTACCATGGTAAAATCACTGTAACAATTGAGTAGCTTTGCTTTTATGAAACACTGACAACAGCATAACGATAAAAGACACCAATGCATAATCATTTCACGTGTTAACGTTTCCTAATATGCCATTTTATTTCAGTTAAAATGTATTTCAAGTGTCAAGTGTCTTTTTCTTTTAATGGTTTTAGATAGTTCGCCCCAAAACTGAAGATAGTAGAAAATGTAGAACACAATAATAATAATAATAATAATAAACAAGAATGTTGGTAACCAAACTGTTGACAGCAGCCATTGACTTCCACAGAATTTTTTCCATACTGTCAACTGTTTGGTTTCAACAGAAGTAAGAAACTCATTTACCCGCAACTTGAGGATGAGTAAATGATGACAGAATTTTCATTTTTGGGTGATCTCTTTAACTATAATAACTCTGACACGATATGACACATAATGACATGGGGTGGGCTATTTTGATTCAGGTCAGTAAATAACCACCTAGCAACCATCACTCAGAACCCTTTAGCAATGGCATAGCAACCAATAACACCACCACCTTACACCTTGCTGACAACTTTAGTACCGACAAGCACCAAACCAGAACCTCCTTCCTGTTCTCACTTTCTTGTACCTCATCTTTTCCTTTCTCAATCCCCATTTTCCTCATTTCATCCCCTCCTTTTCTTCTCTTTCATTCTACTTCCAGTCTCAGTATATCAATTACTAATAAAAAAATGCCTCAAGAAGACCTTAGCACCATCCACGAGTCCCTCTTCACAGAGTTGGCTGCTGTATATGTGTCCTTTGATACCCTGAATAGCCCAGAATGCTCAGCGCTTTCCTCTCTCTCTCTCTCTCTCTCTCTTGTCCTTTCTCATTAAAACCCACCCCGGTTCACAGAGGCAGTGCACCCTGGGCATTGCCAGCTATTAATCCACCACAGCTGAAGTCTGGTGACATGTTTTCCTTTCCCAGCTTTCGCAGCCTAATTACAGAACAAATTGCCACATTTATCTCTCTGTTTTTTGCTACATAATTCCTCCATTTTTAACTGTAACACACAACTTGCTCATCCACTGTGTCCACCATTGTTGGTGGTGTCGGTATTGTTCACATTTACATACACATGCGTTCATGGGAATCTGCTGGGTGATGAATGATGGGACATTTCGCCGTGCTAATTGGCATATAAGTGTGGCACATGCGCCGATGCCAAGGCACTGAATTATAATGCTGCACAAGGGAGTCCAAGCAGAAGGTTACATGGGTCATCTTACAGAGTGGACCTGACCCAAGGGCGCAGGAACAATCTGGAACAACACATTAGAAACCTTATCAGCTTGTCTCATAAATATTAATTAGGTGATGTAATCAGTGAAAGGCTGATAGGTCAAGGCCAATTAATCGGCATCAGCTTGCTGTGTCCACTTGGCCCAAGTGTGGAAGCTCTAAAACCTGCCAACAGCCATTTCAATGGTTAACTAACTAACTAACTATTTTATGCATGTATGCATGTATGTATGTATGTATGTATTTGCTTGTTTGTTTAAGATAATTCTGAGTTAATGAGCTGTCTGAAATAAGGGTGAACTTGTTTCTGTACATAATTAAATTGTAGTATGCATAAAGTATTATTAAAATCATGTTGTTCAAAACAAAAATTAAAATAGGAAAAATATGCAATATGAAAATAATTGAAGATAAAATGTGTTTTACTGAGAAAAAACAAGATTTGGTTTTTAAAAAGCCTTTTTCCAAAAGGTACATCTGGAAAAAGGGGGGGTCGTCTTATAATCAGGGTCGTCTTATATATATACACGCGCATATATTAGGTAAACTAAAACTTTTATTTTGGATGTGATTAATCGTGATTAATCATTTGACAGAACTATTATTATTATTATTATTATTATTATTATTGAGGGGAAATATTTCTCCAAACCACACATCCTCAACTAAACACACAAAACGTCACAAATACAAATTTCTAGTTGGCTAAAGATATGTGTGCCACTGTAAAAAAAAAAAAAAAAGGTAATATAATTATTGGTTAGCATTTATCATTATTAGTGCATGTAAGTGTTGGGGTGGGCAAACGATGCAATTCATTCTGGGGTAATATTAATGTTTAAGTAGTAAACAAAGTAAAAAATAATAAAACAAAGGAGATTTAAGCCACTTTTGCTTGTGGATAAAACATTTTGCACAAAAT